AAAAAGTACACATTAAATTTTATTTTATACTAGCGCCACTTTTAATAATTAATTTTTTTTTTGCTTATTTTGTTATAATAATTAGTTGAAAATGAAAAATATTATTACAAATTTTAAATGACAACTTATAAAGAGTTTATTTTTTTATGACTAAACAAAAAACTTCTCCTATGGATAAGTTTTTTATTTAATTATTACAAGTATTTTCAAGCTTGAAGCAATATAGCTCTTGCAATGTCTTTGTTTTTATTTATAAGTTTTATTTTTCTAAATTATTATGAAATAAAATAATCTTTTATAGTTACATCAGCTTTATACATTTAACAGATTGTGTGATATCAAAAAAGTGACACTGAAATTTTCTTATAATTGTAAATATGTACTAATGCAACAACAGTCATGGATAAGTACAATTGTACTTGATACCTGACCACGTATATAATTTTTTTTTTTTGAAAGCTTGATCATGGTTTTTTAACGCTTCAAAAATGCATTGAAAAGACCCAACAAAAGAAAGAAAATTATAAACAAGCCTAATTATAAAAAAAGACAAGAATTCTTAACGAAGGAGAAATTTAAAAAAATAATAGTTAAAAACTATTGCTCTAAAAAAATAAGTCAACTAATATAAAAATGAAAAATTCTGCTGGAAATATTCAAATTCATAAATTGGGAGCACAAAAAATAAAAGAAAAAAAGAAATGCATATACAATGAAAGAAAAGGAATACCGATACTCTTTCAATTAGGTTCAAAAAGAAAATGAATTGAATTACAAACAAATACTGAATATGAATTAGAAACAAATCCTGATGTAAATTTGAAAAAAGAGAATAATGAAAATGAGAATGAATCTTTTACAAATATGATTGATATATATATTGATTCAGAACCTATACCTGGTGCTACAGATAATTCTAAGTTAAGTAGTGAATCATTTGATCAATAAAGTACAAAACTTGACATTGGATTTATCACAGCAGATTTTCTTTTTCAAACAGAAATATTTTTGTTACCAGAGGTCATATTGGCTTTCCTTTAAATTTGCCTAAAGATGATAATAATCAAAAATTTCCATAAGGTATCTTAAAGTTTAGAAACATTAATGCAGAACAGCATACCCGAGACTGGCTTGTATGGAGCAAGATTAAGGCTTATTTACATTGTTTTCCTTGCCTGTTATTTTGAAACAGTGTCTGTTCCCAATCTGCATTAACTACAGCTGAAGGCTGGCCAGCGAGTTCCAATTGGTAGAAGTTATGTAACAAGATTCCAGATCATAAAAAGAGTAATGGGTATAGAGAATGCTATCTAACATGGCGTGAATTAGAACAATGTCTTTCAATGCAAGGTGGTATTGACAATTTTATTTAATCACTAATTAAAGTGGAATTAGTAAATGGTACCAAATTTTGAGAATAATTATTGATGTAATCCTTTTCTTAGGAAAACGTAGCTTTGCTTTTCAGGGAACTTCACAACGCATTGATGACTCAAATAGTGGAGACTTTTTAGGTCTGATAAAGTTGCTTTATACGTTCTTAAATTAGCTGAGTCACAAAAAAGGGGGAAAGACTGCATATACATTACCTTAGAAATGATTACCAAAATGAGTTTATAGCAGAATGTTCTGATCTTGTTAAGCAGTATATTTTGGACGAAAGACATTCTGCAAAGTACTACGCAATAACTGCAGAATATATAACAGATTCATTACATGTTGAGCAAACAACATTTATTTTATGTTACCTAATTTGCCATGAATCACAATATATAAAATTGTGGAATGATTTTTGAAATTTATAGACTGTAATGACAAAAATGGTTCTGAAATTGTTAAAATGATAATAAAAAGTTACAAAGTAATATTATTCCGTTAGCTTGTTCTAGGGCTCAAAGTTATGACAATGTGCCAAAGATGTCAGGCAAATACAATGAAGCACAAACTATAGTAAAAGAACTGTGTCCTACTGTTATGTTTTTTCCTTGTGCCTGCCACACATTTAAATTATGTGATAACGATGCTGCTGAAAGTATTGCAGAAGCCATAGCCTACTTCAGAACTATGCAAATGGTATACACTTTATTCTGGTGTAGTCCAAAGAGGTTGGAAATATTATCTTACGATATTGGTTGTTCTTTTCAAGGCATATCTGGTCCAAGGTGGTCAGATCGAATAGAGAGTGTAAAACCATTTGTAGCTCACCTTCCAGGAGTAAAGCTGGCTTTTTAAGACTTGCTCCAGCTAAATTTTACTCAAAAAACTAGAAACCAGATTCGTGTGGCACATAATATTAATTTCTATTGACATTAGCAACAAAGTCATTCAAGCTAGTAACATGACTTTAGAGATATAGGTTTCAAATATAGAAAACTTACTTTCACAATTAGTAGCTATTTGTGGCAGTTGGAAAGCAATGTTGATTGAAGCTAAGCTTGTTGCATCTAGCCTTATATATATATATTGATATATATGAAATAAATTTGTTTAGGAACGGTAGCAGAAAACAGTTCCACAATAAAAATTTGAGTAAAATGAGTGAGGCAAATCTCCCTTGAAATCCCAATTCCGAATGCAAATTTTCTATGTTATGTTTTTGTAGGACTTACAGTTCTTTTTAGCGCCAAAACAGATCTCTTCAAAATATTCAGCTTTCTTTGAAACTACCAAAAGATTACAGAGGAGGAATTAATACACAAAGCAACTAGATTTGCAAAGAAATTTCATTGTTGGTTCTGTTAACAGAATGTTAAGACTGTCTAAACAATGGGTTGTTTTAGATGACTGTATATGTATTTTTTTATTTACTCTTTATTTAATTCAATTTATGGATCTTGTACTTATTTATATGTACATGACGTTTGAATTATATACGATAATAATAATACAATAAAATAAATAATTAAATTATATATTAAAATTTAACTTACTTTACCATAGCTACTAGATATAGTACAAATGAGTTAAATTTGAAGTCTAATCTAAGAAAACATATGATATTTTCCAAAAATTTGCATTCTTTGCATGTTCGACCAAACTTTTGTCAAGGTTCGGCAAAACAGCCGAATGTTCGGTTTTGCCGAACATTCAAGTTTAAATATTTTTTTTCAACTATATAATATCTTTTGATAATTTAAATAAAATGTTTTTTACAGTACACAATTATTACAAGCAATTTCTCATTTTATTGCTTTATTTCAGCGCTTTTTAAAATTTTTTTCAAAAATCTAAAAAGCTGTGGCCAAGTTGTTGCAAAAACACACTAAATGCAGGAATAGCATGCAATCGCATGGCTTTCCTGTCCACAACTGCAACAAGGGGGTCATTTAAAGCCTAGAGAGATTTTACTTCATAAATACTTAAGTAGAAGTAATAAGGATGCAGATAATTGGCACATTTTATTTAACCATACATAATAAATATTCTTTAATAACTAAAATTTAATTTTTCTTAAACAAAAATTTGATAATTTTTATCGTAATTTTTTTTTGTTTTTTTTTTTCTTTCTATTTTTCTGTTTTTTACAAAAAATTAAATTCCTTGTAAACATGTTATAACACTGCATCAAAAAGTTATAGCTTTTAGTTAAAGTTAAAGCTTTAGCTTTTTTTTAACTTTAACGTTTTTTAACGTTTAACTTTTTTGTCGTAAGTAAAAAAGCAACGGTATATTTTTTTTTTAATAAATAAAAAAATAAAGATAATTTTGTGACACAACAAAATCACAACAAGCTAATGTGCTAAACTGTCTTTATTTAAAACAAGGCCTGCTAATGTAATACCGATAATCTTTTTAAAGTTTCTGAAACACCAAACCACTAAAAAAAAACAGCAACTCATATATCAAATAATATTCTCAAAATTCCAAAAAATGTGTCTTACAATTTTAACATAAGTTTTCAACAATTTGCACATTAAAGCATCAAAATCTCCAGAGGTATTAATTAGACTCAAGAAGCATTTTGACAATCATTCCATTAAACCCACAACTGCAATCAAATGATTCACAAGCTGTTTCTCAAATTACTATATTTAATAAAATTGTAGAAGCAGTCGCAAACTTTTTTGAAAATTATCAACTAAAAGATTACAAGGAAATTAGTGAATTAATTTTGTTGTATTTAGATCCAGAGTATTTCATTTTTGTCAAATAGGAGCAAAGTTGCAGATTGGCAATTAATACTCCATGGAATGATATCAACATTAATCGGTACATTATGATGTAGGCACAAGTGAGTTACACAATTTCTGAAAAAGTTATAGAAGTATCTGTGATACTTAAGTTCTGAGGTCTCCTTGCTTTATTTAGTCACAGTTTCAAAGCCTAAATTGCTTAGCTGATAATCTTCTGGCACCAAGGCCTATCTTTCTACACAATTAACATAGCATTAACAAATCAAATTCAATGGTTTTTGAAATCACTACAACAACAAGACTTAGTACCCATTAGTAAATGTTGATTCATGATATATTTAAAACCTTTAAATTTTCTTTACATTAAAAACTGACCAGGTCATAAACCATTTCTGCCATTAAAGGCAAAGATAAAATTTGGTAATGTTGTCAATGACAGTGTGGGAACATTTCTCAATGCAGCCAAAACCAAGGAGAATTATGAGAACATTCTACCAGTTATTGTGGATGACAGAAAGAAATTTTCAAGCTTGTGTGGCCGCAAGAGGCTTATTAAGTTTTTTGTGTCACTCAAGTTTTACAGTCAAGAGTCAAATTTTACAAATCGAGATACTGACAATAGAGAGACAATGACTAACAAATGATTGGTTAAAAAACTTATTTTAAACCAATCTGAATCAATTTGTCTTTTTTTTTTGTACGTGTATTTTTATTTAAAAAGTTTTTCTAAAAGGAATTATACTTTAAAACTGTATTACATGTGTGTAAAAACTATACAAGTAATGTAACAATAAGTACTGTAAGAATTATAAGCTTGTAAACAATTAAGTAGTGTAAATGTAAAATAAAACATTAAAAAAAACTTACAGAATATATAACTAATAATCGAGAAATAATACTGGCAGAAGGATAGTAAAACCCTGATAAATTTTCCTTCACTATAGTTATTGCATTCTTCAAACTTCCCTCTTCGAGATAAGACTCAACTAAGCTCTCAATTCGTGAGGGTAAAGGTGAGCGTAAAAGATACTATAAGAATAAAAAAAAGAAAAAAATTTTACACAAAAAGTAAATATAAAGTACTGAAAAACAAACATAAAAAAATTATAGATACCATAGAACCTCTGTATTCTGTCTTTTCGTGCAGCATCTTAAAGTAAAAACTTTTTCAGGAAATTATTTAGAAAACATATTAAAGCCTCTTACAAAAAAAGTATTAACAAAAATCAAGATCTTTCTCAAGAATATACAAGCATTAAAGAAAAACTGATGATGTTAACCTCTTTTTAAACCATTAATCTAATATGTTAAACTTTTATTTTATTCATATTTTATTTGCATTTCAATAACTTGTATATTTTAGATATATCTGTATGCTATATTTTTTAGTTTAGTAAAAACTTTTTGTATATTTTAGATATATCTGAATGATATATTTTTTAGTTCAGCAAACCTTCACGGGAAGTGCGTGCGGTTGACACCTTGTTCGTCCACATTTAAAGTAATTTTTTTAGACAACTTGACCATGTTTTTATATAGTAAGGGTTTTATCAATTTGCAGCAAAAAAAAAGCTATAAAAAAAAAAAAAATAAAACAGCAATACTTGAAGAAAGGAAATGAATAAAAACAAAATAGAAAATCTAATTGAAATAAAATAAGCAAAATTGAAAACTAAAAAAAAGAAAATTGTCAAAAAAATAATATAACTAAATATTTTACTGCTTTTGTTTTCTATTTTTTTAGGGCATTTGTTTAAAAAAGCAGATAAGAATATAACAAAAATAAAAACATTTTTTTATATACAATTTATTTGCAACTTTTATCAGTCAGTATATTAAGGAAAGACTTTATGATTTGCGCTAGAAATGAATAATTTTAAAATTCATTTTTCAATTGGACAATTTTAAAATTCATTTTTCGAATGTTTTTGCTAAACTTTAGAGTTTTTATCAATGCACAGTAAAGCGAGAAAACTAATTGCTATTTATTTGTTAATTTTTTTTTTTTTGTTCAAACAAGTTTTTTATGTAAAAAAAAAATAAAAATTCATTAATACTAGTATTCAAACATAAAATATTTGGTTGTTTTCACTACACCCATTAAATTAATCTGTACTTTCGTTGGATCATTCAAATTGTGCATTTAAACCTGATAGTTTATTTCCTGATGAACTATTGTTATTAACAATGCTCCAAAAGATTGTGGGCTAATGCAATATTAATTGACTGAACTTTTTTAACAAAATTTTTAGAAGCCTATTTAAAAGTTTTTTTTACATTACATTTACATTACATTTAAATGTTTTTAAATACATTTTTTCAAACAGAGCAATCGTTATGTCCATTATCTCTAGTAATTTGTTTAAAATTTAGCAATATGGAAATTTAAAGGAAACAATTTCAGACAGTCATAAAATGTGGTAAATACATTTGTAAAAGAAACCATGTTATTCTTTTAATTTCTTCCGTCATTACAAAATTTATTAATCAAATAATATATTTTACAAATAAATAGCAATTTATTTTCTTATTATATAAGAAAAAGGAGAGTAAGAGTGTGCGATTGGTTAAAAGTCCGCATGTGTAATTCCGACTATTGGCGCAATGCAAGCAAGTGTTTGATGAAAAATGTCATTTTGATGTGTTGGTGTGACTATCTGATTAATACAAGAACGCGTGTTGTTTAATTTTAATACCTCTCCATGTTTTGAAATATTGTATAATATAATTTCTATACTTTAGCATGTAAATTTAAAGAAAAGGAGTTTAGTTAATATTTGCATTTATTATTTATGAAATATGACAAATAATATATTAAGTTGTAGTAATTTTAGTTCCTAATAACAAGTGAGGTTAGAATATTAATTTGCGTAAGGTGTTGCGATCTGGTTATAACTTTTAAAATAAATTACAAAAGCGGCCAAGAGTGCGCATATAAAAAGAAGCTAGAAGACATAGAAAATATGAGTCTAGAATCAAAAAAGGCTAAAGCAAATCAAGCTAAAAAATAATAGAATTTTCTAATTTTTTATAAAATTTATATTTTCAAGTTTTTTTTTCAATGCAATATTATTTGTATAATGATTAAAGTTTTGTTATATATTAACGACTATTGTATAAAAAATTTAACTGTCTATTATTTTTAATTGCTCTTTTTATGAATAAAACCTCATTAGGTGCACACTCTTACCCTCCTTTCCTTTAAGTATTGAGAAAAAAAGTTAAGTATAGCAAAAACATTTTTAAAAGCAAAAAGACATGAAAACGAACAACATAAGAAAAAAAGTTAATCATTTACTTGAATTATTTACCTTCTCTACTCAACTTATGTTTTCTTTTTGATCTTAGTCAGTGCTCAGTCTCTCACATTCACCCTTAGTTGCTACTGATCACAATTTGAACTCTCTAAAACTATTATCTTATTCTTCTTCATCATTAGAATCCCCTATTCATCTTATCTTTTACAACTACCTTAAAGCTAACTGGGACTCTTTCAGTGATTTTCTTTGTGGTGGCCCTTCAGTAGAAATCTTTTGCCTTCCTGTTAATAAATGTGCTTCTTATATAACTTCATGGATTCAGGCTGGCATGGAATCTTTTGATTTCTGTCAAAGATTTAAGTCAAGTCTCACTCTTTTCTATGGTTTACCTCACATTGTACTGCTGCAATTTCCAATCAAAACTATTACTTCTGTAACCTATCAGCAAAACAATTATCCAGAAAACAGACGTCTACTTACTATTGCTAGAAACTATTGTAAAAAGATTTTGTCAAACACTAAAGCCCGCTATTCTCAGGTCATGAAATCTCGTATTTTATCAAAAATTAGGCTCTCATGACTACTGGAAAATCTTTTACAGTATCAATAATAAGGGCAAATCTGTTATTTCACCTCTGTTGTACGGTTCAGATTTTTTCACCTCACCTAAAGACAAAGCTGAATTGTTTGCTAAGAACTCTAGTTCCATTCTACCTGATATAGCCAATGAACAGGTTGATTTATTGCTTAACTTCATATCACTCCAGCATCTGTATCAAAAGTAATTTCATGCATAGACTCTTCTTCAACTTGTCCGGACAACATACCTGTTGTAGAGGTATGTTGTCCGGTCCGGACAACATACCTGTTGTAGTCTTGCAGAAGTGTTCTTCGGAGCTGTCATCTATATTTTCAAAACTATTTAACAAGTGCTTATTTGAGTCTTGTTTTCTGGCATGCTGGAAAGTGGCATCTGTTATCCCTATTTACAAAAACTCTGGAGAGCAATCTGACTTTTCTAACTACTGTCCATTTGTCTTCCTCCTATCATAAGCAATGTTTTTGAATCTTTAATTAACTAACACTTGACCTCTCATCTTGAATCTAACAACTTACTTTCTGACCATCAATATGCTTTTCGATCTTCTCATTCTACAGCTGATTTGCTAACAGTAATAATCAATAGGTTTTATTGTGCATTAGATAGAGGTAGAGAGGTTAAGGCTATTACTCCTGACATTTCTAAAGCTTTTGATAAAATATGGCATGATGGTCTTCTCTATAAGCTTTCTTCTTACGGTATATCTTTAAGATTATTGAATTCTTCCTTACCAATTGTAGTATTAAAGTTGTCCTAGATGGACAGCACTCTTCTTAATATCCTGTAACTTCAGTGGTTCCTCAAGGTTCAATTTTTGGGCCTATACTCTTTTTAATTTACATTAATGATCTTCCAGATATTCTTACATCTAAGGTGGCATTGTTCGCCGATGATATTACCACTTATTCTTGTTTTGATAAGAAGCCAACACGCTCTGATTGCTTGGAATGGACATTTGTGCTTGAAAAGGATCTCACTTCTGCTACAGCATGGGGCTCACAGTAGGTGGTGAACTTTAATTCAGATAAATTTTTTTCAGCCAATCATTAACGCAATAATCTAGGTCTTCTTATATTTATGAACAGTAAAGTACTCAATGATTCATCCACCCTTCATCTTCTAGGATTAACTCTTACATTCGAACTTTTTTGGAAACCATATATCAAATTAATTGTAAAATTAGCATCTGCTAAGGTTGCATCTATCTATCATGCTCGACACTTTCTTACTCTGGATTTATAGATCTTAAACTCATCCTTGTATGAAATACTGTTGTCATATCTGGGGCGGATCTTTCAATGATACCCTTTCTCTTTTAGACAAGGTACAATTGCATTGTAAATATAGTTGAACCTGCTCTTGCAGCCAATCTCCATAAACTATTACATTGTCATAATGTTGCTTCTCTTTCTCTTTTTTACAAATACTATAACAGACACTGCTCTAAAGAACTAGCATCTCTTCTGCCTTCTACTAAAATTCATTCTTGTGTTACTCCTCATTCAAATAAGTTTTATCCTTTCCCTGTGACTATTCCTAAGTGATCCAAATGCTCTTATTCATCTAGATTTTTTTCCTCTAAAATCAGTTCTTTGAAGATGTTGAAGATGTTGAAAAATAAATAAAAATTAAAATGAAAAAAAATTGGGTTGCAAAAAATAATAACCACACTAAAAAAAATAATAACCACACTGAAAGAATAATAACCACACTAAAAAAATAATAACCACACTAAAAAAAATAATAACCACACTAAAAAAATAATAACCACACTAAAAAAATAATAACCACACTAAAAAAATAATAACCACACTAAAAAAATAATAACCACACTAAAAAAATAATAACCACACTAAAAAAATAATAACCACACTAAAAAAAAAGAATACAAAAGTTGTATAAAAATTTTATAAAAATTTTTTCTTTTTAATTTAATTTTTCTTTTTTTTTTTCAAATTACTAAATTTTTTTAGTTTAGTTAATTAAAATTTGATATTTCGTTACTATTTTGTTTCCTTTTTTTAGAATCGGTTTTTTTTTCTCAGTAGATAAATTTAGCTTTTTGCTGCAAATTATTGAAATGCTCTAAAAGTAAAAAGATGCAAACATCTGCGGTTAGTGTGTCTAAAAAAATTACTTTAAACTTGGACGAACAAAGCATACAACGATATACACTTCCTGGGAAGGCTTGCTTAGTGTAAATAACCGGTATATTTTAGATATATCCAGTGGTGTACCCTTTGGTTTTTTTCCAATTGCCATGCGGACTGAAACAGTTTTTATTTCTCATTTGAGTTGTCCACTATGATGATCAGTAGACCGGTGTAAAAGTTTTTTGTATTTTTTCTCGTGGGAAATTAATGATTTTTTAAAAATTTTAGTTTAGGCAAAGACATGTACTTTGTTTTCAAGAAGCAAATTATTATGTTTATTGCAAAAAAGCTATAAAAAAACAAAATAATAAACTTACGATTACAAAAGTAACAACTCAAGTCACTAACTGTATTATAAAAGTAATAAAACTATAATACTATAGTATTATTACTTTTATAAAGCAATTATAACTTTTAAAGTTCATTCTTTGCTCAAATAACATTACAGTTAACTCTTGATATCTTGAACTCTCAAGGGACTGGAAAAAAGTTCGAGATATCGAGAGTTCGAGACATTGTGTGAATTTTGGCTCAAATGAATGCGCAAGGGACGAGGAAATTTTGAGATATTGAGTAGTCGAGATATCAAGAGTCAACTGTAGTAATTCTAAACTTTAACAAAAGTAGATAATCATCTAGAAAAAATAAAGTGAATATTCAAAATAATTAAAAACTTCAGGAACTTTTACAAATACACTAAAACTCGTTTTTCCGCGCAGCGGCCTTGCTCGTCAAGGTTCGTGTTTCGGAGTTATAGAGTTGAGAGAGGGTTATAACCACAAATAAGTAGCCTCCTCGTCTGTAGTGGCCTTCTCGGCCTTGAGGAGGTGAATTAAAATAAAAAAAAAAAAAAAAAAAACAACTTTATAAAAATGTACTTTATAAAAAGTTTAGCATTATGAAAAATATTACTAATAGTCTGTAAAAATGTGCATTAATTTTAAAATCAACCAATAAAAAGTTTTTATAAATTGATTTTAAAATTAACCTGCATTCTTACAGACCATTAGTAATGTTTTACATAATGCTTAACATTTTATACAGTACATTTTTATAAAGTTGTTTAAGTTTCTTAATAAGTTTCAAATATTATTTGAATATCCACTCTATTTTTCTAGATGCTTTTCTACTTTAATTTAAACTTAAGATTACTTATGTTGTTTGAACAAAGAATGAATTATAAAAGCTGCAAGTGCATTATAAAAGTAAAAACACTATTATAGTGTTATTACTTTTATTGGTTGTCCTGTCAGGCTACTGACAGGCATTTTTTTTTTTTTATTTCAGTTGCCCTTGGAGAAAACGAGCAATCTCATGCCATTAGACAAACATGAGGGTACACCACTGATATCTATATAGCTATAATTTTAGATTAGTGTAAATGTTTTGTATATAATTCATAATAATTAGTTTAAGAACTTTTTTCATCTTTTTTTAACTTTATTTTAGTTTTTTTAACTTTATTTTATAATAGTGATTTTGCTGAACACCGAATATTTAGCATAACTCTCTACGAATAATCGAATATTCTGCCAACGAATATTCGGTAACACTTGGAAAAATTTTCAAATATAGGTTGTATTTTTTACAACCTGTTACGTAAGATATATACACATTAAGTGAAATTCTATATTAAAAGCTTTAGAGCATTCAGTGGCAATTGCGTAGTTTGTGGTTTACATTAATTGTTAATGTATTTATATTATAAATTGTCACAAGAAATCGTCAATAAACGAATTAATTTACAAAATTCAATTTATTTATTTACAAGTTTGATAATTTATTTTCAATTACAAACTTCAAATATTGTTATTAAAAACCTTATAAATACATGAACAATTAAATATCCTTTAAATACTATGTAAGTCAAAAAGTCAATTTAGTGAACATATAAGACTTAGACGTAATCGATTGTTATTTTACTTGCAAAAAATTGCAATAAGTAACAAAAGTTGCGTTATTTAAAATTTTAATAAAAAATCACCTATTTGGAAATATTATAAAATTTGTAGGAAGACAATAAACTAGCAGTTTGTTTGCTGTGTAAAAGCAAGAACTCACAACGAGGAGAAGGAAGGAAAGCAAGTTAGTAAAACTATTATGTAAATTATTACTAAATATATGTTTTAACAAAACAGATTACTTACACTGGTACTTTTTTTATTCATAGTTCTTTTGCTCAGTTAGTACTTTAATTAAGTACTCTTGGTAATTTAATTAAGTACTTGGTAATTTAATTAAGTACTCTTTTTTGTTTCCAGCAACAACTTCTCTGAAAAACCACCTTCAAAACAAGTATTCTACGCAGTACGCAAAATTAACTGAAGCTCCGCCAAAAATAGGGAGCAAAAATGAGGGTTTTCTCATTTATACAGACTCTAAGATACCATCAGTAACAGGTATTTTATAAAAGAAACAGTTGACTCTGATAGAGACAGCTGAAAGGAAATTGTGTTAGGATATTCATGATACAAAATCAATAAAATATCATTACTTAATTGGAGAAATGATTGCTTTAAACAACAAACTGTCATCATTAGTTGAACAAGTTGTCTTCAATAAGCTTATGGAAAGGGCAGTATCGCAATACAAAATACCTTGCCACACCTACATGACTGAGAAAATTATCCCCAATATTTTTAATAAAACTTGCACTAAAAATGAAGCTAGTATTTCACAAACAACATCAGTACCCGTGACATCTGACATGTAAACTTGTTAGCACAACAACTAAAGTTTCTTAAATTTTTACTGCGCATTAGATATCTCTATATTTTATTCTTGAACACGGTGTTTGCGTGATGAAGCTGTTTTCTGGTTTACATCCTGGTACTAATATTGCAAAAGAACTCAATAATATTGCAGGAAGATGGAACATTTCACATAGCAAGGTCCATTTTTTTGTCCATGACAGTGGAGCCAATATGATAAAAGATGTACTAGATGCTGATTATGATTCTGCCAAGTGTTTTATTTATTTACTACAACTAACAGTCAATGTATTGCAAAATTTTTTAACAGAAATAACACAATAGCTGCTGCAATAAAATTTGTCACTTATTTTAACCACCAAGAACACCACCAAGTACACCACTCTAGTATAGCACAAGAAAAACTTAAATGCATTCATCAAGAAACTTATACTGAGGGACCACCAATTAATAAAAGATGTAAGCACATGCTGGAATTCAACATACTATTTATTGGAACGATTATTGAGCATAAGTTGCAACTTTTCTTGACCCACGCTTTGAAACTAATTTCTTGGGTATAGTAAAAACACAAAGAGCAAAACAAAAAATTCTTTTAGAAGCCCTGAAAAAAGGTTTTGAAGCATCTATTAGCACCAATAATGATTCATCTCCACTTCAGAAGAAAAAATGTCAACAAAAATGATAAAACAATTGAGACACACAATAGTTTTTGGAAAAGTTTTGAGGAAGTCGCTACAGAACACATGCAGATAAAGATATCGAACAGAAAAGTTCAACAGCAAACAAAATTGATTTAGTCATGAGAACTGTTTGTCTAGATCGGAAAACAAGTGCTAGTCCCAGACCCTTACAAGTGCTAGTCAGCTAATGCAAAACAATATCCAAGCCTAGCAGAGTTTTTTGAGATTTATTTATTCTCTGCAGGTAGTAGTGTGTATAGTGAGCAACTATTTTTGGTAGCAGGTATAACTTACAAGGAAAAGCGGAATCATTTGCTATCAACAATTGCCGAGAAAATTGCTTTTACTCATAATAATTTACCGCTGATAGATTTTAAGTATTAAACCTGTTTAAAATAAAAAAATTTGGTGAATAATAGAATCTTAAATATAATATATTTATAGCTCGATTATTCTGTTTATAGTATTATTATAGTAATATATAGTTTAATAATCTATTTCTAATGTGATTTTTTTTATGTTTCAATATAACGAATAGTATAAAATGTTGCCAAATATGATTATATCACTAATTAATTTAAGTCTATTAAATCTACATATTAAATATATAAATTAAATCTTTTAAATCTATTAATATAACCTATATAAGTCATACAATTTATTTCTAATATTTGTCATATTTCAGTATTCAGTATTTGGCCGAATAGTTTGCAATATTCAACAGAATACCGAATAGTATAAAATGTTGCCGAATACACCGAATACCGAATAGTTGTCGAATATTCGTGGCATCTCTAGTTTATATCACTCTTGATCAAAATTAATTTTGCCAAATTTATTTTTTTCAGTTTTCTATAAGTAGCGATGTTCTTCTACAAGTTCTTCTATAAGTTCTTCTACGAAGTTCTTCTATAAGTAGCGATGTTCTTCTACAGGTCTCTTCTACAGGTTTAATTTTTCTAAGTTTAAGAATCTTAAACATTATACTTTATATTGAGTACAAATTGTAAAAAAAATAAACAACTAAAATCACAACACTTTGATCTATTTCTATGGTTATCATTCACAACACAATGTCAAGTTATTTTACTACAGAAACTCTTACTAAAAGACCTTAATCCCCTAACTACATGTCTGAAAAAAAAATGAAAAAAAACATACCGAATTAATTCAAAGAGCATAACCATAGTCATAATTTTAAATAAAAAATATACTTTATTTGCTTATTGATAGTTCTATTACCTCATGTAAATAAATAATATAACACTTACAAAATTATTTGGATAATTAATTTGCACATCCTTTCTAAAAATATTTTCTGCAGGCTGACTATTTTCATTTAAATTTAGGTTTGGCATAGTTTTTGAATTGATTGTCCGCTTTGTATACTGTGAGGTCATTTTTCTTGTTTTTCTTATAAAATCAATGTCAGGTATGAGACTTAAACTAGCTATCTCAATTTCTTGGATATTCAAATTAGTTTGAATATCTAGAACTTTTTCTTGCTTTGACTTAGGAGAACATTTTTCAACTATCTCTATATATGTATTATGGCGATTTGGTGATGTAATATTGTTTTCTAATGTATCATTACTACTAAATGTAATATTGTATTCTGATATAACACTGTAATCTAAAGTATTTTCGTTATCTGATGTGACATTGTAAACAGATGTTTTACTGTTATCTGATGTAACACTGTAAACAGATGTATCAATACTATATAATATATTTTTATTATCTGATGAACCATTGTGATCTAATTTATCATTGTTATCTAATAAACTTTTATGATCTGATGTGATATTATTATCTAAGGTATCGTTGCTATCTGATGTATGATTACAAGAATCTGATGTATGATTACAAGAATATATTTGAACAACTTCAGTAATTATCTTATCTATTATATTTATCTGTAGCCACTTTTTTAAGTCTTCAATTTCTTGATTTAATAATGGCAATGAAACAATAGGTTCAAAAGAATTATTTAAAAACTCAACTTCTAAAAAGGTATGAGGTTTGTTTAAACTAGTAGAAATTTTCTGAGTTGAAAAGGTATGAGCTTTGTTTACACCAGTAGCAAAGTTCCAAGTTGAAGCGGTATGAGATTTGTTTACACCAGCAGCGATGTTCTGAATTGAAAGGGTGTGAGGCTTGTTTACATCAGCAGCGGTGCTCTGAGTTAAAAAGGTATGAGGTTTGTTTACACTAGTAGCAATTTTCTGAGTTAAAAAGGTGTGAGGCTTGTTCACATCAGCAGCAGTGCTCTGAGTTATAGAAAGTTTGTTAGTGAAATCATTGTTATTTACACTGACTATATCATCTTCATCACTTGATATTTCAATAACATTATCACTATTAAATAGTTTTTTTGTGTTGCAATCAAACACTTTACTATCACCCTTAAAAATAGTTTCTTTGTTATCAGAACATTGAGGCGAAAACGTTAAGTTTGTTGAACCAAATGAATCAAATTTCTTATGCAATTGAATATGTGAATCACAAGCTTGTTGTTTATTGTGGCTTGGAATCCTAGCATCATCAGAGAGTTTCCTTTTTTTGTTAAAGAATTCCATTATTGTCTTTTGGTTTGATGAATTGCATGTGAAGTAAGGTTTTTTAGGAGAATTAATTTTCGTAGAGAGTTGAACATGTTTCTGCAATAGTTGATACTTTTTCACATTTTTTATATTTTTCTGAAAAAATATAAGTTGAAAATAAATCATAATCAATTTTAAAAATTGAAAAGCAAAAAATTAAAACTTTTTAGAAAAAAATAGTCATAAATGAAAACTGTTTAAAAAAAAAACAATGAAAAAAAAAAAAACAATATCCACCTTAACAATATAATCTGTAATGTAGCAAGGTCGAAGAATAATCTCTGAATTTAAATTTTTTAAAGATGGATCATTTAATGACTCAGATGTCACAAAAGCATGTGTAATTCCATCTTGATAAGCTATTGAATTTATAATAATGGCACCACCTGCTTCAAGCAGCCTATCACAAGTAGAAATATACAAATACAAACACTTTTATTAAAATATTATTAAAATGATTCAACTTTATATTTCGATAAGAGAAAATTAAAAAATATATAACTTTCCATTTAACACAATATTTATACATTATTTAATTTATCCTTGACTGTTAGAGAGACCACGTTTTTATTTACCATTACAAACTTGTTAGAAAAAATTTGTTTCAAATAAATGTAAAAAGTAGATTTTATTTTAAAGCCGGCCTATAAGAAGTAGATTGCATTAAACCTCATTTTGTCATAAAGTGGCAATTTATTTTACAATAAATTGCCACTTTATGACAAAATGAGGTTTAATGCAATCTACTTCTTATAGGCCGGCGTGTGTGGCATGAAATTCAATCACTTTCGTTATGCCCATCTAGTAACTAAGTTCTGATTTGACCATCTTGTGTTTTAAGTATCTGAGAATCTAAAATAAAAAAAAAGTTCCCACTCTAAAGGTGTCCTAAGCGGCCAGTATAGACCTCCAAAGTATCCTTTATCGTGACTATCGTGTGCTTTTGATTCCATTTGTTTTCTGAAAAAAATTTTTGCAGAACGTGTAATACGTACAGTTACACTAACTTCTCTGATAAAAAAGCATTCTGTAAAATGAAAAAATTTAAAAACAAGCTTCCGTTATATTTATTTTGATTCTTTATAATAGATCTAGTAGTATATAGTTCTAGTATGTAGTTATAATGTTCTAGTATAGTAGAAGGAGTATAAACATATAGTAGTATAAAGGTATAGTAGTATAGTAACAAACTATAGTAAAATAGAAGGATCTAATAGATTTTTTTTCTGCAGATGTTTATTTTATCAATATATATTTATATATATATATATATATATATATATATATATATATATATATATATATATATATATATATATATATATATATATATATATATATATATTATATATATATATATATATATTGATAAAATAAACATATGCAAAAAAAAAAAAAATCTATTAGATCCTTCTACTATACTATAGTTTATATAAACATATGCAGGTATATATATATATATATATATATATATATATATATATATATATATACATGTATATATAAATAACATTCATATATATGTATGTGTATATATATATATATATATATATATTATATATATATATAATATATATACATACATATATATGAATGTTATTTATATATACATGTACTCATATATATATATATACATATATATATATATATATATATATATATATATATATATATATATATATATATATATATATATATATATGTATGCATGTATATATATATATAATATATACACACACAAACACACACACACACACACACACACACATATATATATATATATATATATATATATATATATATATATATATATATATATATATATATATATATATACATATATATATATATAATATATATATATATATATATATATATATATATATATATATATATATATATATATATATATATATATACATATATACATGTCTTCAAAAGTCAACAAATGGAAGAGCTGGATATTGTACCACAATTAAAAATGCTGAAGGTATTCATCCAAAAAAATTAGTGATGATAAAGAAACAAATGTCCATCTGTCAAGGACAAGATTTTGTTGAATCAGCTAGTGAAGGAGATCCTTCAGAAAGCAAAGAGCAGTGTTCCAGCAGTGATATTGAAGCTGAAGGTCCGTCATCATCATTTAAAAAACAAAAAACAAATTCAGCAGTACATTTAGTGATTTCTGCAAAGATTAGTACCAAAAAAGCACATAAAGTATGTAAAACTCTCTCAGAAAGTGGTATTTCTATTTATACTCCAACGCAAAGTGGTATCTACAAAGGTGATATGGAAAACCTAAATAATGAAAAGTGGTCTTTGCACTTTGATGGAAAACACATAAAGAAAGATGAATGAAAAATGAATGAATGGAGCAGATGAATGGAAAAAGTGAAACAATATATAATGGGATAAAGCATGTGCTAGATGAATATGAGCTGTGGCCAGCCATAAAAATGATCATATCTGACACAACATCTACAAATGCAGGATTAAGAAATAGTGTAGTTACACGGTTACAGAAACATTTTAAAACCATTGGACTAGAAAAGTCTGTTTTTATTGGATGCCAACACCATATTCTAGATACTCTTTTAAAACATGTCATGAATGATCATTTTGAAGGATCAACAATGTCATCATATCTCCATTACCCTTTTGTGACAAGGTTGCAGCAAGATTACGAGAACTTGAAGTTATTATTATGTAATATTGGAAATCCTTTGATGAAAGCGAAGAAAACTCACTGGAGAGATGACATGGATTTCCTGAATCACTTAATAGCATGTTATAGAAAGTTTAAAAGCACAGGTAACTTTCCAAAAGTTAATTTCAAATCACTTCCTGATATAAGGAATGCAAGATAGAATTCGAGAGCCATTTTTATTCTAGTTGCTTACATTTTAATACCAGAATACCAAGAATCAGAATCTACTCAAGCAGCATGTGACTTCATCTGTGGTTCATGGGGTAATATATGGTTTGAGGGTCACTACTTTAATCCTGCAGATTTTGTAAATCTATTAGAAGCATGCAATGAGCATCCTAAAGCATTGAAATCATTGAAAAGGTTTTGGTCCACTGAGCCTACACTAATACCAACACAACGGTCAAATATATGTGCAGAACGTGCTGTGAAAGTGATGCAAGACTTAATGCCATTATGCCATAGCATAGAAAAAGTAAATATTAAATACTTATTGTCAAATACACAGTAGATAAATTTTAATTATACATGTTTATTGGTTTCTGTAAAGTAGTGGAAGATGTGTTGCAAAACTACATTTTTTTAATTTTTTTATAAATATTTTTTAACTGGGGGGTGAACTTTTTTGACATAAAGTAAAAATGCTTGTTATTTTTTTGATTTTGGAAAAAAAATTCCACTAACTTTAGTATGGGGATATAGGGTTGCAAAATTGTCATATCCCTAATATATATATATATATATATATATATATATATATATATATATATATATATATATATATATATATATATATATATATATATATATATATATATCAGTATAAGCTATTTTGTATACGCAGTATAAATTTTGTAAACGCAGTAAAAGCTATTTTGATTTTATGTGCTATCTTGAAAATTACTTAACCGAAGTAATGGTTTTTTTTAGTTTATTTGTTAATATAAAATTATTTACTTTTTTAACTTTGTACTATTATTTTTTAATGATACTAAGTATGTTTAATTAAGATGACACATAAAAACAAAATTGCTTATACTGCGTTTTGAAAATAAGCTCTTCAAATTTTGATAAATTTATATACCTGATTAGCTTTAATTTCGATACTGATACATGATTTTTCCTATTTAAGTCAATTTTAACATTTATTTTTTATTTATATATTTTTTAACTTATAGAATCTTGGAATTGTTTGGCAGGTTTTAATTTGAACAATCTGAACTATTTTTATTTTATCAGGATTAATTTTTACTAAATCTTTTTATATATAGTAAGTGTTTTTCAGTAATATATGGATATTTTATGCATACAAATATATTGAAAAATATTTTATAATCTAATTTATATACTATAAATATATAATGTTATATACTATAATGTTATACAATTTTTTTTTTAAGTTGTCAAAGAAGATGAATGAATGTTCTATTCATTTTGATGGCCTTTTCTGAAGATTGGATTTTAGTTACAGAAAAAAGATTAATATCAATTAATTGTGCCAAAACAAAATGGTTACTGTATCCTGGATATAATATATATATATATATATATATATATATATATATATATATATATATATATATATATATATATATATATATAAATAATATATATATATATATATATATATATATATATATATATATATATATATATATATATATATATATATAAATATGCCATGTTCAAAATAATCCCATGTAGAAGTTCTCCAAATAGATGTTAGTGCAAAAAAAAATTTTAATTTAGATTTTTAAAATTGTACAATATTTTTTTTTTGGTAACAAGAGTTTTAATATCAATGGACAAATAATGGGCGTGTTATTTGATGAAGTGTGCAACCATAAAATTTTACAGAAGAAATTTTAACTTTTTCTTTACAAGCTGCATTTAATTATTTGTATAAATATATGTTTTTTTGAAAATAAATAAATAATTTTTATATGGACCATTTACCCTACACTTGCTTTTGGCAGCTATGTCACTCTACCTTGCAATTGCAGTATTTTTTATGTAAGTCTCTACTTGCTTTAAAATAATCATATCCACAAGAACAGTTTATGGATCGCTAAAAACATTTTTCATAAATGAAACTGAATTTTTATATTAAATCAAGAAATCAACATTCGGACAATAATAGTTAGTCCCAAAAAATCTTTCCAAAATTATTTGCAATAGTTAATTGATAATTGCAAACAACTTAACCAAAAAAAGTCAATAGGTATTTATTGTAAGCTTTTAATGGATCTAAATACTTTTTCATAATAATCAATAATTACTCAGGAGCAAACTTTTTTAAATTCAGATTTTATAAATTAGTTACTTAACCAATTAATGGGTAATTTTTTCGAAGTTTTTAAACGTTTCAAAAATACCCAAAATATATTTCTTTTGTGATAACAAATATTTAATGATAATGCGTTTTCAAAAAAATAAGTCTAATATAATTGCACAACTTTATATAAAACAAATTGAAGAGAAACTTGATAGCCCCTTGTTTGGGTTAACTTCTTGCTACCTTGTATTAATAGTTCTATTACCAAATTAAATTGCCTAATTTTTTTAAAATAGCATTTGTTATCATACAGGTTGCTTTATCTTGTGGCATTAATCTTGATGATGAGGCAAATAAAAATAGATTGTTGTTTTCGTTGTTATAAAATGTTTACAGATAAAACAAAAATTGAAAGAGCTCAAAAGCTAAAAGTTAAAAACCACGTAAAGGTAATTAAGAAACAAAGAACATCCTTAAATGCTTCAGTATCCTCCCTAAAGAAAATGCAATCAACGCAAGTTTTAAAACAATGTAATAATAGAACAGCCATTCTCACAGATATATGTATTATTTGCAAGAAAAAAGAAAAAATATTGTATGTTTAGTGTAGCAGTGTCAGTATTGTTTAATAGTTTATTTTTTTTATGCAAGTTTTAATATTAGGTTAGAATATAAATGCGTTTTAAAATGCATTAGTTTATAAACATTAGATTCCTTGACAAATCAAGTAGATGGCAACATTTATCTTAGAATAAGATCGTAACATTTATTTTAGAATCATGGGTACATTTCCCTCAATAGTAGTTTGAGTTGCAGTATATAGGCACGTACGGATGAGATGTTGCATGGTTGGATGATGTATCTAATTTTTGCCGACTTAGTAATTTAAAGAGATTATCAACAAAAAAAATTTAAATTTCCACAATGACCAAGATTTTTCGACTATCGATCCTGATATTTCCGACAGAGGTTTGGCAAAATGTTTTCGTAAGCAAAATATGTTCATATACGACCACCCACCCCCGCCCCAAAAAATGGCCCTGGCTGTATTGTATATTTAGATGTATTAAGTACCTAGATTTATGCGGTACTTATGTAGTTATATTTTTGGAAATCTTTTTTTCTAGGTGACAAAGGGAAGATCAAGATTGGCAGGGAAGATCAAGATTGGTTCATTGTTCTTACCTCCGATGCCAGCTGTCTTAGAGAAGCAGCTGTAAAGAAAAAAGACGAGGATATATTCCTGCATATTAGAGACAAAGACTTAATTTTATTTACTGTTCTTCATTGAAGCATAACATAAAAATGTCAAAAATAAGATCCCTTGGAATCAGATCAAAAATAACCTAGGTTACTAGTAACATAAAGCATCCAATTATTTTTTTTACTTTAGACAATTTATTGAAGAATATACTTACTAAATTTGAAATAAAAAAAAATTATTTATTTGGGCGTAATTAATTTTTTTTAAAAATCAGTTTTTTTTGTTAATAGAAACCGCCCTAGTTAAAACTATGAGATGGTTTCTATATACACCAAAACTTTGACCTGAATTTGGTCTTTGGGACTGTAAAAATCTGGGATCTTTTGGGAATTGAATTAGTTTGTAATTGAAAGTAATTGAAATACTTTTTTCAAAATTTAGTTACTAAATGGGTATAACGGATGTCTTTTTTTAAAATGATTTTTATGGCACAGACGCTGGCCTATTAGGAGGTTTAATGCAATCTACTTCTTAGCAGGTTTAACACAATCTACTCCTTATTTGAGCAAAGAACTGAAATTGTTTTTAACATAAGATATCTTAAACATTCTTTCAAGTAATGTTTATAACTTTTAGCTTAAGAATTTCATTAACTAAACTTATATTATTATAACTATAAAATTATATAAAAATTTTATAATTTGTATTTATAAACAATATAAATAATTTACAACTTTATAAAGTTACCTTTGATAAGCTTTCTTCCAATTAGAGTTTTTAATGCAAAGCAGAACTTTCCAATTGCTCAATAAACGCTTTCCACTGTGTAATCTTTCATATTCTCTGCACCGCAAAGGAAGTTTTAGCAGATCTGCATTTGTTCCAACTTGAAGTGGTTGACGATACCACTCATATGGTTTTTCCTCAATCCATTCACCAAGAGTATAAGAATCTGTGATGTATTGAGGAGTAACAATAGTTTTACCTAAAAGTTGAACAAGCAGGTGTTAAATATTGCTATAACTTTTCAGATAAAAAAAAATTAATTTTAATTATTTAATAAACATTGTCAATGAATAAATTTTTGAATAAACATTGATATAAAAAAACTGGATAAAAAAAATGTATTGTTACCTGGTAAAAATAAAACATCCTTTAACTTGGATTATTTAAAAAATTACTTAAAAAAACTGAGATAAGAGACCAATACCTAACAAAAACACGTATGCATTTCAAAAATGACATTTTTTTAATTTTAAGATTATGATATCAGGGTGGCCAGGTAATTTTTGATTTCATATTCCTTGACTTTTCCATAACTACAATGAAACTTTCCTGATTTATTGATATAAATTTAACAAATATAGCAATGAAAAGCCAACAAATAAAATTCACAAAACTTCATACAAATTAAAGGTAGTGGTGTAGTGGTAGAGCGGTAGTGGTGTAGTGGTAGAGCGGTAGTGGTGTAGTGGTAGAGCGCTTGGTTCATAAGTGAGAGGTTCGGAATTCGATTCCCACCACGCCCCTGATAATACCGCACTCAACTTGTTTCTCTGTGCAGCGGCCTTGTTTGTTAAGGTTGGTTTTTCGGAGTTATAGAGTTGGGAGAGGGTTATAACCACAAATAGCCTCCTTATCTGTAGTGGCCTTCCTGGCCATGGGGAGATGAGATATGGCCATGGGGAGATGAGATATGGCCATGGGGAGATGAGATAAAAAAAGAGATATGGCCATGGGGAGATATGAGATCATGAGATATGGCCATGGGGATCATGAGATATGGCCATGGGATCATGAGATCATGAGATATGGCCATGGGGAGATGAGATAAAAAAAAAAAAGAAAGTCTTAAAAACTGTTTACTTTAAATAAATAAACACTTTTAAACAAAAAAATATTAAATAAAAATTAAATAAATTAAACAAATTAAACAAAAAAAAATTAAATAAATAAAATCATGTCTACACAAATGTAAACAACTGATTCTTGGTTACAAATGTTGTAACCAAAAATCAGCATGATTAATTATCATACATGGAGGATTATCATAGATGGAAAAATGGCTTATTTCAGCATTAATAATAACCGATTCCCTTTCAACATCCTTTTCTAATCTAGCTTTTTTGGCCTTTAACTTTTTAATGAATTGTACAGCAAATTGCTTTTCACACAGTTCAGTTTTCTTCTGTCAGACAGAGGTTGTTGGTATCGGTCATATTATAAATAGACACTTTCCAACATTTTTTGTGTGATATGTACATTGTACAGTCTGCCAACATCAAGGATCGCTTCATAAATTTTTTGTTGGGCAACTACAGATTCTGCGGCAAAATTTTCTACTAAAACATTTGAGTTAAGACCTTGCTCTACTTGTGCATTGCTGTGAGATAAAATCATTACAACTTTTGCTACTTAAAACAGCGCTAACTACTGCATATCTTCTCCAATAAAAAAGAGTTCATAGTAAAAGTCATCTAAACGTTACTTAGTAAAATCATAATAACTCTCTATTTTTAATAAAAAATAGAGAGTTATTATAATTTTACTAAGTAACGTTTAACGTTAAAAAAATTTAATACAAAGGTCTTACCATAAAACATAAAAACGAGGTCGGCAATTTTTTGTCAACTTCAATCACTTTAAGATCAGCAGTTAGGTCGACATTGCAGAATGCTGACCCTAATTCCGAGGGTTGATTCTGGCAGTAATAGTCTTCGGCAGTTTTGATCTGTTTATGTAAGATTTCACACTGTTAAAAATTTAAGAACTCTCAACTATCCCACTGTTTATTGCTAAATAGCCTGCTCTGGGAGCAGGACTATCTTTAAGAGTCTTCATAAGGAAATTAATGCTGAATTAACTCCTATAGTTTAGCTATCAACTGTTTTCTGAACGTTTGCAGGATTTACATCACTGATGTTGTACTTATATAAACATGTAAAAATGTTTATAAGTACAACATAAACTCCAGGCTTGGTCAGGAAGCGGGTGCGATCGCATTTGATAAAACCGGCTAGATTTTTTAGTCGTTTTGAGAACATTTCAAAACAAACAAAAAAGCGCAGTAAGATTAAATGGACTGATGAGAGACAATTAAAAAAAGAAAAATAGCTTTTTACGCGAGAAAACTTAATAAATACATTTATTAGAGCAAAATAAATTTATTAGAACAATTATTTTTGAAACGTCACTCTTTATAACTTTTTTTATAAAATTAAGCGACATTATTTATATAAAGTAACAACTATAAAGAAGCAAATGTTCTTCAATTTATCAAAGAGTATATATAACTTTTATTATATACTTATGTCTTATTTCTAGTTGCGGATTGAGGAGGTGGGGTGGGGGTAGTAGGACTATAGTCCCGGGACTCACAATGTTAGGGGAAATAGTCAAGAGGACCATTCTGTATTTATTTTAGTCATTTTTACGCTGTGGCACATAAAAAAAGGCCACCAAAATAATGCAGCCCCCGGCCTTGAAAAGTCCATCAAGATTCAACCAACAAAACTAACGCTAGATGATTTATTTATAAATAAAAAAGTTTTTTCAATAACTGTTTTATGTTTTATGAAATAATTAAATCATTAAGTTACTGTAGAAATTCAATTAGCTAGATAGAAATTAACTAAAAACGTTAAATTACTTTGTGAGGAGGAAGCGGAACTGCTTCACAGTTTAGTGAGTGGACTTTATAATTTTAATTAGTATTTAAAACAGAAAAAGTAACTTTAAGTATAACGAGTTTGTAAGAATTGCTGAAGCAAAAATAATTAAAGTTAGTAGACCGATTTCTTAGAACTTAAAAACTTTCCTTTCTTGGGAGAAAGAATCAGTTATCAGGTACATTGAGGAAAATGGATTAGTGGTTAAAATTATTTGTATTAACTTTGACAATTAATAATAATTTAATTGAGAACGCAGTATTTTTGTTTACAAAATCAATCGCACAATTTGCTTTAAAAGATTACATTTGAATAAAATACACATACATTAAATTAAAAAAATAAAAAGACATTACATACATAAAAATACACTACATACATAAAAAATACATCCCTTATATATAAAAAATAAGAATATACTAATAAAATCTATTATATATTTACAAAACGTTGGCAAGTTAAAAAATATATATTCAAAACATTTATTATTGCAAACAAATAATGTTAGTTTAAAACATTTATAGCTTTGTATATGTGGCTCTAAGAATTAAAATTATAGTTCGTTTGATAATATATTCTTAAAATAATTTATGCTAGAAATCTCAACGAAAACATAACAAAATTCAAATAATACAATTTTTTTAAATATATCAACAGAATACTCAGTGGCTGTATTCTTATCTCTCCGTTAAGCTTAACGGAGCGTTTGTCAAAAAGTTCTTTCTAACTACATTAATTTAAAAAATTCTTTAAAAATATAAATTTTTAAATAAAACTGTTTTATTTTAGTATTAGTTTTAATTAAACAATTTAAATAAAGATTTTGTCATTTCTATACATAAAGATGTTGTAATAAAATTTTTGACAAACGCTCTGTTAAGCTTAACGGAGAGATGAGAATACGGCTGCTGGGCATTTGGTTAGTATTTTTTGAATACTCTAGAAATTTCAGTTAGTATTTTTCGAACCAATAGAATTACTTGTTCGTAGATTTGGCGAGTTTTTTGTGTTTGCAAATATTCCTTTATTATTTTTCCGCACTAAGATGTTGAGAACATTCAAGTTGTATCCAATTTTACAGACTTACATGTTTCCATGTAAGTCCGTAAAAATTTACGATAAAATGAACTTATTATTTTGCGGACAAACAAGGAAACATACATAAACTTAAATGTTCTCAAAACGACTATAAAATCTGGCTGGTTTTTCGCAACTAAATATTGTTTTCGTGGTCAGTTATCGAGTGCGATGGCACCCGCTTCCTGACCAAGCCTGAGACTCCTTTTCCTAATATTTAGGAATTAAAAGTATTAAAACTAAGTATATTCCATGGTTTATATTTCATCAGAAGAAATTATGCTTTCCAGTGTAGTTGCCAATATAAAATAACAAATATTTGTTATTTTATACAAATGTCTTTAAATTCACAATTAAAATAATCAAAATAAAATAAAAATTCTCTAAAATTTTAACAGCAGTTGCAACCAACAAATGATTATCTAGCATATAAGATATAAGCCATTATAAAATAGCAAATTTTGTGTAATTTTTTTTTAATTTGCAATAAAAATAACCAAAATAAACAAAAACTGCCTAAAATAATAACAGCAGTTGCAATTAACAAATTGTTATATGTCATATAGAATTAAAAAATTTTAATTTCTAATACACAAAAATATATATCTTGTTCTTAAATCTGTCAAAATCTCCTGCTTTTTCCTTTACTTTTGCAAAATTTAATATATTTCATGACTTTTTAGCACAGTTTAGAATTTTCCTGACTTTACCAGGTTGCTGGCCTCCCTGTGATGTTCTTAAAGAGATCCCGAACCTCCGAGGCATGTTGTGTTCAAATTAAAGAGAATGATAAAAAAATGTTTGGGCTAACTTTTTTTTATTAAAACAAAAGAATAAATGCATACCAAAAAAGACTAACTTTTATTTTAGTCAAAGCGCACCTTCTCTATTTTGTTGTAGGCCAAAAAGTCAGCATAATATACGTCGCAATGTACAGACTTTACAATTTAAGCATGATTTATTTCTAAGAAAAAAAAGTAAATGACAACAAAGATTGATTATGCAAAAAAACAAATAAGTCAATGACATCATGTACTTAAACTCTTAGGAATAAAATGCACTTGATTAAATTACCAAGTCTGTAAATTGCGGCGTATATAATGCTAACTTTTTGGCCTACAACAAAACAGAGAAGGCGAGTTTTGACTAAAATAAAAAAGTTAGTTTTTCTTGGTATGCATTTATTCCTTTGTTTTAATCAAAAAAATTTAGCCCAAACAGAGTAAAATGCAACACGTTTATGAAAGATCTGCAACTATTATAATTTAAATACTTCTAACTATAAATGTCAACTTCAAATAATACAATGAAACTTACAAAAAAGTTAAAATCAAAAAAAAAAATATTATAAATGTTAAAAAAGATACGCAAAAAAAGTTTAATAAGACCAACATAAAAAAAAGAAGATAATTCTGTTTTTAAAGTAAAAATCTGCTCTAAAAATGCAGTATACACTATTATGTCTACACTATTATGCACAGTGTTGTGCATAATAGTGTAGACATAATAGTGTATACTGTAAAAATCTGCTCTAAAAATGCAGTATACACTATTATCAGTATACACTATTATGCACAGTGTTGCATACAAAACAATATTTAGGTTTCTATTTCACAAAGCTGGTATATTTATTATACACACCATTTATTAGATAGAGTCCAGTAAACTTTAAAGTCTTTAAATTTATTAGATAGTGAACTTTAAAGAACTTTAAATTTATTAGATAGAGTGCAGTGAACTTTAAAGTCAAAATACCTGAAATTTAATTATATTGCAATGCTTCAGAACTGTTGATGAATTGAACATTACAATGCTATTATTTATCACAACTATTTTTAACCAATCCACTATTTTATATCAACTATTTTTATCCTGTGTGTAATCTGGGTAAAACATTTCATTTCTCACATTAATAACTTATTAGGATTCAAATGTGCTAATTATTAAAACTGTAAAATAAAATAACAATAAAATATAAAAGAAAAATAACAATACAAATATATTATAATATATTATAAAAATATAATATAAAAACAACCTGCAAGACAACCGCATAAGTATATTTCATTCTGATTCGGAGACTTACATACGACAATGTTGCAAATACTTTTATAATGCTGAAAAAAAAAAAAATTAATTACAGTTTTCTATTGTATACAGTTTATTGGTAAAAATAAGTTCTAAATTATTAATATACTATCATAAAATATTAATATTATGTTCTAAATTATCATATATTGACTATTCTTAGGTAATTAATAATTTTCAAAAAAATCCACATATTTGAACATGTTTTCAGCATGTTCAAAACATCATAACTCTGCATAAATATGACAGCAGAAATGTTTTTAGTTTGCACTATATCTAAAAGTTACTTAATTGGAATAAAAAATAATCCTAACACTGTGATGTACATTGCAACAAACAAATAAATGCATCAATACATGCATCAAATTGATAAAATAAAACAGACAAAAAAAAATTTTACTTTATACTACTTTTTACTTGCTAAATATATATATATATATATATATATATATATATATATATATATATATATATATATATATATATATATATATATATATATGTATATATATATATATATATATATATATATATATATATGTATATATATATATATATAAAATTTTACTTTATATTACTTTTTACTTTCTAAATATATATATATATATATATATATATATATATATATATATATATATATATATATATATATATATATATATATATATATATATATATATATATATATTTTTAGAAAGTAAAAAGTAGTATAAAGCAAAAAAATTTTTTGTCTTTTTTATTTTATCAATTTGATAAAATAAAAAAGACAAAAATATATATATATATATTTTTATATTTTACTTTTTTTATTTTTTGTTTATCATAAGATTTTACTTAACTTGTAATCAGGTGAGTGCGCTAATACAGTATATTATACATGTTTGTAAATAAGCCTCCTATGGATCTTTGGATAAGTTTTATATATGTATATGCTTTTACTATTATTATTGCTAATAATATTATTATTATTTGTTATTTCAAGATGATATGTTTGAATCAGGGCACATTTGAACAATCAGATACTGAATACTATCTGAATAAAAATACAGATTTTCAAGTTAAATCATAAAGTTTTCAGACATTTGAAACTAAATGATGATTTAAATATATCTAAAATTTTTGACACTTAACCAGACAATTGAAATTGAGATTTATAATTTTATTCAGAAAATATCTGACTTAAAAATGTGAAAAATGCCCTTTTGGATCAAATACAGAGAAAAAAAAAATACTTTTTGTATCGAAATTATTTTCTCAGATATTATTACCGTTTTACAGACTAATTTTGCTGATACTAATGAGCAAAATACTATTTTTCTGATAAGAGCTCGTGACACTTTAATTAGACTCATTAAATGATTAGAAATTTATTGTCTCGTATGATACTATAATAGCAATAACATCTTTATCGTATATAACTTATATACGATACTTATATTATAAGTTACAGACTATTTTGCTGATTGGAGCTTGAGACCCTCTAATTGGACTCATTAAATGAACAAAAATTCTATTGTCTCGTATGACTATGATATTATAACAACGATAAAATTGTTTTCGAGTCCAATTCGAGGGTCTTAAGTTCTAATCAGCAAAATAGTCTGTGAAACAATAACTGTTAGAATGATAATAATTACCACGGCATTACCTGTGCATCTAGGTAGACTCCTCCAGGAATACTGTTAATTTTTTGAATGAGACTATCTTTTTCGGACTCATTAAATGAACAAAAAATGAAAACGATTTCTTTACTCTTTATGATTGTTTTGTCAGCCATAGCACTTAAAATTTTTTTTTTTTAATTAATATCATAACGGCAACAGTTACCCAGATAGATGTCAATAGTCATTAGTCCGATGTCTTATATTTCAGGGTTATATGGCCGTTGTTCTACTTTTACCGTCCAATAAATAAACTAAATCACAGGTGCAATATATAAGTTAACCAATGACGTAATAATTTAATATTGTTATATTATTATGTCATTAAAATCAACTTAATAGTCTGTGTTCCATACTGCCAATAGGACTTTAAATATATCATAATACTGACGCGAATATTTGTAATGCACGTGTGAGCTCAGGGTAAATCCCAATTTGCTTTTTAAAGTTTTAAGCCTGTGTAAAGTTTTATTTAGAAACACTTAAAGTTTGGCCAGAATACAGTTTTTTGATTAGCGCAATTCAAATAATTTTATTAGCTAACTATTTTCTACAGTTTCTTAAGATTGAAATGGTATAAAAAAATAAATTCTGAAATGATAAATTTAAACGTTAAATTGATTCAGTTAATTAAAGGACATTGTATCTTCGACTTCCTTCGCAGAGCCAATTTTTTCAGAGTTTATATCAATCTATAAAAAAATAGTTATCTGCCCCAACTTGCCCCATTTAGAAATAATGTGGTTTTTAAAAGCTCATTTTCTAAAAAAAATTAGCGACCTAAAAGCTAATACGACGTAATTTTAATGGGTCAAGGTCAGAGGCGAATCTACGAATATAATGATGAGGAGGGAGTTAACTTCTAACTGGCTTCTAAAAAAAAAAAGTCCTTAAAACGAAAATACAACCGACTTAATTGTGTCAAACACCGGACTAGCCGACTAAGTTCGTGAAAAAACACACTATAACTTGAAAATCACCTTCTTCCCACGCACACACACACACACACACATATATACACACACACACACACACACACACAGACACACACGTTTTTACTACAGCGGCGTATCTAGGATGTCGTCTCTGCATCACTTTTTTTGCACTGCTAAATTTAAGTGTTTCTCTTTTTCACTTTATTTTGTTAATGAAAAGTTAAAGTAGAAATTAGAATCTGATATTCACACAAAACGAAAATGTTGTTTTAAACTCAAAAAAAAAATTAAATCTAAACTCGATTTTATTTGATATCTATAGTTATTTATTCGTTACTTAAACAAAATTGGAGCAACTAATGCAATTGTTCTTCAATAAATACAAATGCGATTGGTTAAAGAAAAGATATTTTACGCTTTAACCTATCTTATTTGTACATTTTTATAAATTTTTTTGATCACTGTAGCAAGTGATGCAAATTTTGTCGCAATTTAACTCTTAATCATAAATGATTGGTTAAAAAACAGTTTTGACCCAATAACTATTTATTAAAATTACAGTTGCGACAGTTGCTACAAACTTTCCGCAAAAAAAATACAAAAATGTTTTAAAACATATAGAGAATGTTTTTTATAACCAATCAATTTTTTATAAAGTTTAAAACACTAGCATCGGTTGCTCCAAATCGTTCAAAATTTACAAAATTCTGATATGCCACGTGCTTCACTCGTAATTTTCGTAAAATACTTTGCTTGTAAATTAAAGTTTTAAAACAAAAATGAATTTTTTAACCTCAAATGCAATTAAGGCTAGACATTTCCCAAATATTAGCAAATATAAAAATCAGTTAACTGAGGAGTTGAAAATTTTAAATAGCAAACGTCCATTGCAACAATATAGTCAGTCTTTTGAAAATTCTGAAATGAATTGTTTTATCCCGAAGCAAGAAGATAGTAAAGATTATGGTGCTTTAAGGTTAAACCCTATTACTAAAGTTGATAGTGTTTCATATTTCCAGCTAGAAAAGAAACTGAGCTTGTTATAGTATACTATTTTTTATACGGGATAAACTAGTTATAAGTGCTGATCCTCATCAAAACGCCAGTAATAATAAACTAGTTATAAGTGCTGATTCTCATCAAAACGCCAGTAATAATAAACTAGTTATAAGTGCTGATCCTCATCAAAACGCCAGTAATAATAAACTAGTTATAAGTGCTGATCCTCATATATATGATCCCCATTTTGAAATAATGTGGTTTTTAAAAGCTCATTTTCTAAAAAAATTAACGACCTAAAAGCTAATACGACGTAATTTTAATGGGTCAAGGTCAGAGGCGAATCTACGAATATAATGATGAGGAGGGAGTTAAATTCTAACTGGCTTCTAAAAAAAAAAAGTCCTTAAAACGAAAATATAACCAACTTAATTGTGTCAAACACCGGACTAGCCGACTAAGTTCGTGAAAAAACACACTATAACTTGAAAATCACCTTCTTCCCACGCACACACACACATACACACACACACACACACACACACACACACACACACACACACATCAAAACGCCAGTAATAATAGAAGCGACTCTGAGGAGATGTTTATTACTTAATCACTACACAAATTATGTTTATACCTTAGCATTAATGTTTTTTTTTTCTAATCTTAGGCCTTTCATTGTTGTAAGCATACTTTTTATTTTGTGATCAGTTTTTTGTTTTATAAGTTTTTGTTTGGTGATATATTTGTTGTTTATCTTCGTTCATATTTGTGTTTATAATTTATTTTTTTTAATTATTATTATTGTTAAGTACTGTTTTAGATGTAATGTCTGTTTTATTTATTTTTAAATATTCCTCTATTAATCTTTTTTTTTGTCTTGACAACTGACAAAATATGCTTTGTTCAAAAAATAGTTCTCCTTTATTCTATTGTACTTCATTTCTTCCCTAAAGCGTTCTCTTCTCGTGTGTAACCATTCGGCGAATTTATATGTCAAAGTTTTTAAATAAACTGAGCTTGTTTTAGTATATTTTTTTTTATTTAAGATCATCCGAAGATGGAAATTGCTCTTTACAGTTCAGCTTCACTTTTAAGCATGTAATAGAAGCTATTGTGAATATGGTAAAGTTTAGGAAGTGTTTTTTTGTTATTATGGATTGCACTCCAGACCTTTAGTCTGCACTTTAGTTTAGACCAGCACTACGCATATTGGTGACAACTCCAGTGACAGTGGCCAGCAGTGATCATAGTTTCAGCAAGTTGAAGTTAATCAAAACCAGCCTACGTACATTCAGGGCCGCCGAAAGGGGTGAGCCACCGGGACAGTTTTTCCAGGGCGGCAGATATCCAAGGGGCGCCAAATGAAATGTAGGTAAAAGAAAAAAAAAAAAAAGGTCCTTCATATATAATATAGGCAAAATTTGATAAATAAGGGCGCCAATCAGGGTTGCTGTCCCGGGCGGCGTGACAGCTCTCGGCGGCCCTGCGTACATTGATGACGCAAAAAAGATTGATGTTGCTTGCGATACTCTTCATTGAAAACGAGAAGACGAAAATACTGAACCTAGGAAAAATTATTGAACAATTTTCCTTAGGAAAATCTCGGAGTATACCGTTATAAATTTACACATTTGTCAGTAGTTTAAGTTTTCATTTAGAATTACATTATGTTTGAACTATTTTAATTTCCTTAAATTACTTGATTTACTTAACAAGTACTATTCTTGAATTGAATGTCTATATATTTATCTTAATGGTAGATTGGTAGGTGGTTTAAGCATTAAAGTATTAGTGGCAGCACTAAAAACTTATATACATAATTATTTCTGGAGAGAGGGGGTGCCATAACTACATTTACCCCGGGTACCATCAACCCTAGGGACAACCTGACCCTTCTCAACAATCGTTTGGTCTGAATATAATAATAAGATATAAAAAACAAATATCGAACAGATATCTGAAAAAACTACAAAACGGCAATAAGAAAAAACTTGAAAAAAACAACAACAATGCATTGTGATTTGTAATGAACACCTGTGGGTGAGATCTTTTTCGTTTATTTTAGTTTTCGTAACTTAAATCCACATTAAAAATGGCAAAAATAAGATCATTAGGTCTATTAAGTTTGAAAACTTTTAATTCGATTCCTTTACGAAATGCACAGACTTCTGCGTCTTCTGCTGTAAAGGTATTTCAAATATATAGATGGAATCCAGAAAAACCTGGTGATAAACCCAGACTACAAGAGTACGAAGTTGATTTAAACAAATGTGGCCCAATGGTCTTGGACGCTTTGTTGGCAGTTAAAAACGAGCAAGATCCTACCCTAACTTTTCGGAGATCTTGTCGAGAAGGTATATGTGGTTCTTGTGCTATGAATATTAATGGTACAAATACTCTTGCGTGTACTTGCAAAATTGACGCAAACCTATCTAAGAAAACAAAAATTTATCCCTTGCCACATATGTATGTTGTAAAAGATTTGGTACCTGATATGACCAATTTCTACGAGCAATATCGGTATATAGAACCGTATTTGAAGAGAAACACTTTACCTGCTGATGGTAAAGAAAATATTCAATCGATAAAGGACCGTGCGAAGTTAGATGGTCTGTATGAATGTATATTGTGTGCTTGTTGTAGCACATCATGTCCAAGTTACTGGTGGCATTCAGAAAAGTATCTTGGGCCTGCTGTGCTTATGCAAGCCTATCGTTGGATAATTGATAGTCGAGATGAATTCAAAAAAGAAAGATTAGAAAAGCTTGATAATGAATACTCCATCTACAAGTGTCACACAATTATGAATTGTACACGTACATGTCCCAAAGGGCTTAATCCAGGTTTAGCTATTGGTGAAGTCAAGAAGATGATTCTTCAAAAAAGTTAACTATTTTTGAAAATACTTTATGTGTAAATGTACTTGTAAACTGTTTTTTTCTTCTGAATAATGGTAAAGTGTATTTTAGGATTTAGCTCTAAACTTATTAGATTGTTTTACACACAAGTAAACATAATGTTATACAAATAACAAAAAGTTTAATTTTTGTACAATAAAAAACTTCCTTTTATATTTCATTGTTACGACTTTTAATTATCGTTTTTTAATTTACTTGAAAAAAAATAATTTAATTACTTTTTACAATCGGTGATTTAGTAAGTATATATATATATATATATATATATATATATATATATATATATATATATATATATATATATATATATATATATATATATATATATATATATATATATATGTATATATATATGTGTATATAAATATATATATATATATATATATATATGTATATATATGTTTATACATATACATATATATATATATGTATAAACATATATATATATATATATATATATATATATATATATATATATATATATATATATATATATTGTGTATAAAAAATGACTAGTTTAAAAAAAATACAGTTTACAATTATTGCCTTATATATATATATATATATATATATATATAATATATATATATATATATATATATATATATAATATGAAGTATAATTTTAATGTGAATTTTAGTTTAATTTTATATGCATATTATAAAATATGCCAGTTTGTAAATAATAATATATAAATAATTAATAGCATTACTTAGGGGAAGTTGGGGTACTGTGGATCGGATTTCTTTAATTTTTTAAATTGAGCAAAAGTTAAAATATGTATTTTACTGTTTTCAAGGCGAAAGGATTAAGATATATTTTCTTCAAGAAATCACTAAAATCCAAATATTTATTATCTAAAGGTTCACAGAAAGGTTTAAAGTAAGTTTTGTTACATGATTCAATGAAAAAGCAATGAAAACAACTGTCAATTAATGATAGTGAATAGGGACATTGCTAAATAGGGAGGGATTAAAGACACTGTACACTATACTTCTGGCATCTTTTATTTATTAGATAAGTATAAAATGGAAAAAATTGACATTTTTAAAATTAAAAATAGAATTTTATTAATAACAAACGCTTATACAGATATTAAAAAATTAAAATCTTATTCAAATATTATTATTTATAACTTGAAACTAATAAATTCTATTTCGTGTGGTTTGTTTGTTAAAAATACATGAATTTTATCTTTAAGATCATTTATGGGCCGTAGTGAATCAACCTATTCACTGTGCCCCACCATAACAAATTAAGTCTAAATCTAATTTCTTTGGACATAATAGTTGTTAAATGAAAAGCTAAACTACTAAAATGAAGCATAAATATTAATAATCCGAATGAAAAACCTTAACTTTCAACCATGATCTCAATAACAAACATAAGGAAGGTAAGAAAATTTACTTTAGTTAGCTAAAAACAAAAATTACCTATCAAAAACCGGTAGTCAAAAATTATGTGGTAACAACTATAAATAAAGTTTGCTGATATATGAGCACTTAAAATAATTACATTATCAAAATGAACAAAATTCTAATCTTTGAGAAAAAGCCTCTTATTCACTAAGCCCTTCGATCCACTGTACCCCAACTTCCCTTAAACTTATTTACCTATGTGTACATATTATATGTAAGTACATCGTATACTTACATATAATATGCACATTTATGTCAATTGGCATATAATATGCCGATAGAATGCCTAGCTCCCCAAACGTACTCTACCGTTTTAGTGTAGTCATAGACGCCTAACATATTTTTGCATCAGATATCAGCTAATAAACTTAGATTCATCAGTCGGTAAAACATTTTTCCAAAAATAAAAATTTTTACTTAGAAGCATTTTTGCAAACGTAAATCGCTTTAGTCAAACAACAGGTTTCTTCTTAGCTATACATGTATGTTTTGTTGTTTGTAGATTTATAAGTATATTCTAAGGATTGTGGATTAAAAATCAAAAACACTCAAATTTTGTGACAATATTAGGAGGGGGGGGGGGGTATCGGCAGCTCTAGATTGTCTATGACTGCCTCTATTATTACTGAACAATATGGTGTTTTATATTTGGCAGTATGTCTTAAAAACCGGTCTAATATAGATGTTTTTTCCATAGCCTAGATCCTCAAATGTTTTCCCTACGGAAAAGAACTTCTTTTAGAGTGGGAGACCTATCACGGATACAGCCACTCGCTTACTTATGTTCCTTATAATTACAACAGTGGTATTTATATTTTATTCTTAGTAGAATTAGGACAATAATATAACAGAAAATGTTAAGAATAAAAAAATAGCTATAATTATTTCATAAGGTTACAAGCAACTCGTAAAATATTTCTTATACGGTAATTGCGTAAGTTTTTTTAATGCTCCCTGAACTAATTCTTATTTCACTCTAATCTAAGAGAGTGTTAATTAACTAAGTTCCAGCTTCTCTCAAACTGTTGACAAATGAATAATAGAGTAAATTTCACATCATATTAAATTTACAAAATTAAAGCCATGTTTCAACAGTAAGCAAACTAATTAAGTGAATACAAAAGCAACTAAAAGAATTTTTTTTTATAAAGTTTTTTTTTATTATTATTTGATAGACTGCTTGCCCCAACCAAACCCTCAGTCGATGAGGCGGTACTTCTTTGTAGCAGCAGGCTATAAGATAGTCAATGTAGCAACCCTTCCCTTGCTGCAGCAGGCTACAAGGGAGTACTGCCACATCAGGCAAATGATAGTCGCTGTTAGTGACATCGGCTATATGTGGCCAGCCGATAACACTTTAACATTTGATAAATTGGCTAGTCATATGCAGCCACTATGGGAGGCTGCCACTAATGGTTCACTAAGTAATCGATAAGCAAAAAACTACAGTAAACCGTTAAAAATACTTCTATAGGTCCACTAGAATCCGGCCACTGAATGTTTTCTTGGTAATAATCGTGTATATTGTTTGAAGCAAACATTATACAGTGGAACTTCAGAGGACCTATATAGACATTTTTAAGCTGTCGACTGTAGATTTGAGCTTTGGTTATTTAATGGACCATTAGTGGCTGCCATAGATAAATTTACAATACATTGTTTCTGGTTTAGGATGCTAAATGCTTGATCTTCTTAACTCAATGCATGGGTTTTGTATTGGGATACTTAGTACTACCTGAGCCTCAAGGCAGGTTCTTTAACCAATTTAAAAAGTGACTAAAGTATAAAAAACTATAAAACACAAAAAACCATTGTCATCGCCAAGTTATCTAAATTGATCATTCAGAAATATTTGTGATATTCAAAGTAACTTTTTTTCAGTTGAGTCTTATCTCTTGTAAAGTTCAACAGACCTACTTGCTCTTTGTGAGAATAATTTGAGTTCAGCTTTCTAATCCTGTGATCTTAGTGTTGACGGTTCTTCCTTTCATTTGATTGTCACTGAAATTAAATTGTTTGTTGATAAAAAGTTAAATCTATCTATTATGTGGCGGGATCGCTGAGATGGTTAGAGTGTCAAAGGAAAAGTTATAACCCGGACTGTTGAACGATAAGAGTTCAAATCCCGCCACCGCCAACTCAGCGCTTGAGTAGTACTTCGGTACGCAAAAATGTTGGTCAATAACGGACGCTACTTTGGATTAGTCTTAATGACTATTTGTGGCTGTTCCTATGCTAAGCCAACAATATCTTCGAATATAAGAACATTGTATAAAAAAATATAGCATGAAAACTCAAATAAATAAATAAAAAAAAAAATTATAAATGATAACCCTAAAATAAGATATTATAAACTTCTATTTATAGGATTTTACTAAATCTAAAGTTAATAAAATCATTAAAAAGTATAGTAAAGATGTCATAATTAATTTAATTTTCACTACAAACATTTTACAAAACAGTTTATGTAACAAAGACTAGATCGTAGATTAAACATTTTAATTACAAAAAAAGACTACAAATACTAGGTCTAACTACCTCGGAAGAACGCAGAATTTGCAGTGACCTTATGCTGCATTATAAAATCGCTCATCAGTTAAAGTTTACATACCACGAAATACAAGAAGTTAAAGTTTACGTACCACGAGTACAGCCTTTCTTATTAATTATATGATATAATCTGAGAAGAAGCAGCCAATGTTTAAAATCACAACTGATCAAAAATTATTCAGAAAGTCAGCACTTCCTTAAAAACCGTGTTACTAACCGATGGAACAAATTAGCTCAGGACGTAGTTGATGCACCCACTGTGCACTTTTTAATAAAAACACGTTAAAGACGCTGCTTCAGCTGCAGCAATGTCCATCGTCAGCATAGGAAAGCCTGGTGTGCTTCACTTCATCAATTCTATCTTTATATGTGGAAGTTGTATTGATTACTGTAATAAATAAAATATTTTATTAAATTTTTTCTGAAATTTGGATTACGAAAAATTATAACTTTGTAACAATGTTTGGGTTTCCTTCTATAACTATTTCTTTATATGTCATTTGTATTAAAAGACATTTACTCTTCCTAAGGATATGTTATTCATTGCTAAATCAACACCCTTCTCAAATGCATTAATTAAATGCAAATAAATAGAAATTCAAACGCGTAAATAAAAACACGCATAAACGTATAAATAAAACGCATAAACAATTCAGGTGATTAAGACCCCCTCTTTCAGCCTTTGAAGATGGACAGACGATCATATATCGACAGACGATCATATATTGACAGACGATCATCACTCTTAGATATCTTGTAATCTCTAAAAGTTCAACTTCACGCTCAGGCGCTGCCACTACAGCTTATTATCATAGTTTGGTGGGTTGTCTTTTTTGAATTACAATGACAAGACGCTCAATATTGATATATGGTATTTTTTACGGTATCCAGCGAATTGCTTAAATGAAATTCCTTTTTAAAAGGTTAAAAGTGTAAATATTGTATAAGAAAATAACCGGTAACTTGATCTTCATTTAACCGAGGATAAAAATTTTCGAGTTATTTCCAATAAAGAATTATCTCCGGAAGTAACTATTTAATTTGCAAAAGCAAATTGGAAAAAACTTACAATTAAACTTGGAGATTATT